GGCAAAACATTTGTACCACTCAGTTTATTTTCACGATATGTCAATGTCAGTCCACAAACAGTACAAAGGGAAGATCTGTTGTATTGTTTTGTAGATCATAAGAGGCACAAGAAATACAAAACACTCTGGTACTACATACCTAAGTCTCTGTATTTGCTCGGTAAAATGTACCATTTCCAAGTCCAGGGCTTGTACCACTCAAAGTCATGACCCACAGCAAACAGACTCAGCTCTGCTGCAACAGCTTGACCATGTGGTTCACAGGAAGCCAGGAGCACTTTGGAGGTGTAGCATAAACCCTGTGCTCCACCAAACCCACAAAGTGCAGCCGCTGCCCTGACATTAACCAAGCTAGCTACTCCCACAAACTCTGCATTGGATTGACGTTAAACAGATGGTGTATGATACAAATGAAGAAATCACAAATTCTACCCAACCACAGAAAAGGTTACACCTTTACACTTTCATAGAGGTTACGGCAGTTCCCCTTCTGTTAAAGTAGGGTGGAAATGGTAACAAAGAAAACAGATAGGAATTCACAGATCATATTGTGGGTTTTTCTTTTTCATCTCTCAACTCTCAACTCTATTTAATTAACATAGTATGTTTTTTTTTTTAATATCAGAAAAGCTTCCTGATTGGGAAATTAGGTTAAATGTTTTTTCAAAGGGTCAGCAATGCACACGATTCTCTCCTTTTTAAAAAGCCAATTGGCGCAATTTCCAGAAAATGAAATGTGGAAATAATTGGACAAATGCGAAAGAGAACAGCACAAATCTTCCAATTAACAATTCCACGTGCTAGTTCATCCAGCAAGACTACACACCAGCAGGAGGCACTATTTTTCCAGTTGACCACCTTTGCTCTGTGCAGTTCATATGGTCATAAGATGCTGTACTTCGTAACAAGTTCAGTGCAGACTGCAGTTTCTCTCTTTGTCTGGAATGAAAAAGTTGATTTTGGGGGCTGATGTGCCTTATCTCACTTGAAACGTTTCTTATGTTCTTATGCAGAATTTAACAAGGAAAACAATCATGACGTTTAAAAGCAACCACATCACACTCTTCAGCAGCTATGAAAATCCTTGCTTCAGAGCAAAGGATGAAAAACATTTTCATTGAAGCCAGCAATGCAATGCTCAACATGTTTTGTGTTACAACGAGAGTATTACGAAACAATACTTACACGTTACAAAGAATTTTTACTTATGAAAAGCTTTGAACGGCTTATGAAGTTTGAACAGATTTCAGAGTCATAGGGGTAGCCTGGATTTGTGAGTTTGTGTGCTGGTATCCAAAGATCAATATATAAAGCAATATTATGTTAATACATTAAAGAACCAATAATCTTAAATGTTGTTAGTGGCTCTTAATATTGTAGAGACAGCGGCCGTGGAATAAAAATGGCAAAGCTGCCATTATAGGAGTGTATTTAGATTAGATACAAAACCTGAATAGCAGATGCTTGCTACTGTCTCTCTCTTACTGTACATGATCACAGTCCAAAAAAGCTCAAACAGATGACACAGGGAAGAAAAACAATGTGTCTGTGGTCAGTCTTGCAAATCCTGCGTTTTATTTTTACATTGATGTCAGAAAAGCAACAAGGTTTTGTTTTAAATTGCAGAAGGCTGGAAGTGTAACCAGTAGTTACTTGGTTGTGTAATTGCAGGATGTCATGTCTCTCCAACAGCTCCTATCTCTGCCCTAGCAGATGGCATCAAAGAAAATTGCAGATGGTTGCCCACAAGCCACAGCCATCTCAGTTTTGCTCAAACATCTTTAAAACCACTTTGAACTGTCCACCACTATTCATTTGCTCCCAGGGTTAACCTACAGTGACTAGTTTAAGATGTCTGCATGCACTAGGACTTCTTCAGATGGTGTAGTACCCTGGCTATACTGTTGAAATATTGGAGTTATTAATCACATTCCTTAAAATGGATTATTCCGTCTATTTAAAATCACAGCTCTTATATTCACATCTTTAATTAATAAAGGATCCTAAACTGCCCCCGTGTTTGTATTTTGAATGATAAAACTGCATTCCATCAGAGCCAATACCTGCAATAGCTTCTCAACATCTGCAATGCACTGTAAAATTATTTCTGCTTTTCAAAACATTTTGGTGGAAAAAAACCACACATCTCAGATAATGACTTGAAAACAGTTGTGCTACACATAATCAGAAAACACATCAAATTTGTTGCTGTTCACAATCCAATTCCTATTGATTATATTGATTTTTAAACTCCCCCTTCAGTCATGCACTGACAAAAGATGTTTGCTTTAGCTACTTGTTATGAAGTGCCTTTGGATATATGCTGAGATGGTACGTTTTCATGTTTAATAAACACTTAATCATGATATATTAAAATCCAATATACTTTAACCTGTAACACAATTTATCCCTAAGACATTTAGTAATTTAGTAATTTCAGCAAATAACGAGAAGTAATGTACATTTAGTATGAAATGTCAATTGATTTACATAAAAATGGGAAAATAATTTACTTTTTTCTATGGTTTCAGCTGCAATGATTAAGGCACACATTGCAGGTTTCACACCAGAAACTGCTGCAGTTACTTCTGAAAGCTTCAGAGTACATCTAATACATAATAAAGCTAATTTCAGTAAAGCTAAATAAAAAGAAAGCAAACAGATGTTAAAATATGATGGTTATACAGTCAGAGAAATTCCTGCTAAAGGAAGCTTCCTTCTTCACAAGAAACCATGTCAATAATCGGGACAATACCTTTCACTCCCAGGAGGGAGACCAACACTGATGGTGGTCACATGCAATCAGTTTTTGTAATTAGTTTTTTTGAGACAGGGACTTGGGGACATACTGTAAGAATACAAAATAGAACTCATATATTATGAAATAGGCATTCACACTCACAATTCACTACACAATTAAGGTCAGGTCACAACAGACATTTCTACAATGTTCCATTGAAAAGCATCTTTTATTCATTTAATTATCTCATACTATGACTTAGCAATCATTCTGAAAACTTTAATAATTTACTAATTCACAGTTTCATTACCAGGAATACCAGATGACAGAATTTGCAATATTAACAGATGCATATCCCCATTAAAAGCTTAATGAAGTCCAATCCATGACTTCTTAATTATCCATACCACTTCACTGTGACACTGGGGTTTACCAAGTTTCTTAAACTACTTTCCTGTATAGTAAGGAACATATTTGTGTTTTTTATTTGCACGGTTTACAGATGTAACAAAAACAAGGCGCTGTGTGCAAAATATTTTTGGCATTTTAGCAACAATATATTGGCAGCGATAACAGACATATGAGAAAGGCGATACTAACTACAGTTAGAATCAAAACAAAAAATAAGAGTTCTAGAAGGTCTGACAGCCTAATAAATATGAAAACTCTATACAAATTGTAAAATATAGGCTAAACTTTGTAAACGTTCAAATTGCATAAATTGCATACAAAGCTACATTTCTCTGTATAGATGCCAGATGGGGCAGAGTCACAGGTTACTGGTTTTATACCCTTTTTAAAACATCTTGAAATAACCTACTATTTCAAACACACTATATCCCAGATAGAATACAATTACACAAAGATCAATCTAAATTAGAAATTACCACACTTTCAATTATAGAACGGCAGAACATCCAGCCTTTACAAAATAAAAAACGTTATGTTCCTAGCCCCTTTTTAAAAATCTGCTGTAGTGCCCTGCCTGAGCAAGCCTTAAATTATCAGCTATATCCCTGTAAGACCTATTAATATGTGCACAGTGCACCACATTTCCTCTATAACATCCAAGATAGAATTTATGTGAAGGCTATATATTTCATGGCTAAATTTACTTGCCAACAGAGAGTGCCAGCTAGTTTCGTAAAGGTTAGAATTTTTTAACGTTATCTTTAAATAGATACTAACCCTCCTTAGCAACAGGCACATACAGAGAACAACACCCCCACACGCATGAAGCTTTTACAGTATATCAAACTGGTAGGAGCTTATATGCAGTAGCAAGGATCACTCTAAACCAACTGTCTATCACTTGCATTTAATTCCACGGTAAGCCCATTAAAGGACAACGCTGTGGGCTTTTTACATTTTCTTCTTGGGGAAATGTAACCAAAGAGATATGCTAGAGACGTAAATCCTCACAAGGAGTGGATCAGGGCTGGAAATGTGCACAGGACTTATAAACACGTTTCTTTTCACAACCCTGACACGCCATGAATATCACAGGGTCTTTAACTATGAAATCATATCCTGGAGTTATAAAAGGATTAAAAATGTCAACTTAAGGACTGCCACCTAAAACATTGAGATACTAAATAACAGAAGAGGAAAAAGGAATATATTAGCCTTTAAATGTCTGCAACATCTTTTCTTGAATATACAATACATGCAGGAAATAGGTCACACTTTAGCTTACTGTATTAGCCAATACCTCTTATGAATATATTTCCACAGCATTCTCATTATCCTATTAATAGATTTCTAACCAGCAGTAATGTGAAATGCATATTACTTAAGCAATGTCAACTGTAAAAAATGACACTTACAGCAACCCTACATTCAGACTAATTCTTCAGTTTTTACTTATAGGATTGCAATGCTTAAAGTGGACAACAGTAGAATCTACAATTTTCAGACATTGAAAACACTAATTGTGAAGTTATTTCAGGGATTTTGGTCTTCAAAAAACAATTAACCACACACACGCACATGAAATGTACGTTAACACCCGCAAATCAATGAAAATGATATTCACATTAGAGGGACAAGTTATGCATTACACATACACTAAGGTGCCAATTCTAATAATCATCACCATCATTATTAATTCTGATTATAGCCAGTACGACTGTTACAACTATGTCTCCAATGCATTACCTAGCAAACAGAAAGAAAGCATGGTTTCTCTATAGAAACATTATTCTAAAACAAACACACACCTACACAACACAGAAATGGAAAACGCAAGGAGTGATCTAACCTGGGTGTCAAATCCATTCTCTACAATGCTACCCTTTTTCTGGGGAGCCCCATTCCCTTCAGTCTCGTGCCCGTGGGGTGATTTGAGGGGGATCTGGCTGGAGTAGGTAGGCTTGCAGACCTCCAGCTTGCTGCCCAGCTTCAGGTAGGAGGGCTGGGGGATAGTCCTGACTGGGACATGCTGGATGGGAGCTGCGCTGTGCACGGGCTTGGGCAGTCCAGACTTCATCTTTGAGGCCACCAGAATGGCCGGCATCTTCCCTTCTTGCTTTCCGAACACGTTTCAGTCAGGAGGAGAGGCCAGAGCCCTGAGAGATGTGCTTCTGACAGGAGAGGCAGGGAAAAAAACCCAGCAGCTGCTGTAGTGAGACCGCGTGCTTCTCCCGATTAAGAAGCACAAGCAGAACCAAACACTTACGGCAGGAGAATCGGAGCTCGCGCTCAGGAGCGTCCTGACAGCCTGCTGACAAGCGGTTGAATTTTTTTATCTAGTTTTTAATGGTAAACCATCGGTCCCGAGTGATTTGCTTCGGTTTTTGCCCTTCTGTCCCCCGTTGGGTTTCCAGAGGTAGTGTTCCCACCTGTGCCTCAATAATGTGATACTTCTTCCCACTGAGCTGTGCCTTCATTATCCTCTCATTACCAGCTGAACGGAATAGTGATGCTCAAACAGGGAAAAAAAAACATTTGAGGCAACTTGCTGCTACTGTACATATGCTTGCCTGTCACTGTAGAGGAGTCATTGCAGGATTTCCAGATTAAGAAGCCTTTTCCTTCAGCGTTAGCCAAGTAGCAGATGTAGCTTAGCAAGTTAATGACTAATGCCCTTGGAGAGGAGACTCAGGGAGACAAGCATCTTAGTCTAACCATCCTCCTTATGGGCACAGTTTTTCTCCAAAGCTTTCTTCACAGACGAGGCAACGCATCCCAGTGCCTTCTTAAAGATCTCCGTCACACAGCTGATGATATGAACTCCTGACTAGAAATGAACCTCTTCCTTCACACATGTTCCACGCAGAGAAACAGATTGCCTCTCACCCACAGACGCCAGGCAGCACAGCTGATTGCTGCCTTCTGTTCACATTAGATAAACCGTCTCTTGCAGGTCAGATTTAAGAACCTTTTTTTTTTAAAAAAGCTGTCAGGTTCTCCTGGCTTAGCTGAAGGAGGCAACAGAGATTAGATGAAGAAGAAATAGGGTACTGTGTGACAGTAGTGGAGTGCTGCAATCTGATTGGCTACATTCACTGAAAAAAAAAAAAGGATCCCTGCAAAAGAGGAGGGGTTTGCACGGAGGATTACAGAAATTCCCTGTCATTTCATCGCAATACAGCGCCTGCGCTATTCCAAACTAACAGAGAACTGCAACAGGCATATTGTCCTCTGAGCTCCTCAAAGCAAAGTCTGAACAGAAGCTTTGGTATTTTCTGAAAGAAAACACGCAGGGAACATTTTTTAGGGCAAGACTGCATTATGAGCAGCCTAACAAATATATTTTAATGCAGTTAAGGCAATACATGTCCATTTCTATTTTTAATATTGAATCAACAGTACGTCCTTTATGCAAAAACCATTGTGTATGACTTGGGCAGCTCAAGCTGGTGACTAAATCAGCCTCCTACAGTATCACCATACCACTGTTTTATTTCAAACTGGCATCTCTATATAAAATACTTAGTGTACAGGAGAGTGGCTTATTGAAAAGGAAAGTAATTTTACTTGTGCTTGTCAAGATTGAGGGCGTTTAATCAATTAAAATAAGACTGTTAAGACTTTTTTCTTTGATTCATTCTAGAACATTATGTATATAAAAAAATGCATTAATGCTGAAAATTAATTGCCTTAATGGACTCGCCACACATATGATGTCATTGATGTTAAGTTTCTGGATGAAATTAATGTCGACTGCAATTCCATAACATAGAAAGACAAACTGATGCTGTGACTCCCTCACTGCCTGCGGTAATCCAGTTACCATAATCTTAAGTAATGGAAGTCCGAGCTGATCTGATTATGGGTGTGTCTGAGTGTTAAGAAAGCCTGGAGAAAAGGCTTCACGTTTTTAACTCATCAGTATAATAGCCTGCCAAGCTAATTGGAGTGCTCACAAAATGGACACAGAGACAGGGAATCGAAAAATAAAGTCATTTCACTTATGTTTTTCATTTGTTTTGAAGACATGTAGACTTTTCAAAAGTTTACCTCAAATAAATAGTACTGTACTTTTAATTACTTACAACAGTAATGTATGTATGAGTTATCCAGTTCCTACGTTACCCTTCCTACAGAAATGTGCAATGCTGGAAAAAGAAAAGGCATGAAGACCCTTTACTATAATTAGAAGAGCAGAGCAGTAGGTTGATGAAGACAAGCTACACTTATCCTCCTACTATACAGTAGGTGCCACCTCCAGGCCTTCGGCTTCTTTCGTTCCCTAAATGCTCAGAGCTCCTACAGTGCAACAGCAGCAGGAGGACAGGAGCTGCTCTCCCTGATGACTCTCAGGTCTCAGTTTTTTACATGAACCTCCACAGGAAACATGAGCTTGTTTCAAATACAAGAAAGAACCACACAAAGCTCCAGATCCACACTTTTGAATATGGTCTTTTTTGGTTTTGTTGCACACCTGAGACCTTTCCACAGCATGTCAGTGTGACATAACCAAACTGAACACTTTTTCCCCACAAATAATCTCATTAATTTAAATCTACTAACTGATCCAAACTTAAATACAGGCCTACAAGATAATTATGAATGTTTGTGTTGTATATCAATGAAATATGACAAAAGAGCATTACACTTCACAATATTATCAACAAACACATAAAAACATTTACATACACTCCTTTTCAAGTCAGCAACAAAGCAGTTTGGGGGAGGGGAGTTCATTCTAAAATGAAATTAAATCTAAAATTCTCAACTATTTAATGTTGTAGTCCTGTTTACAATTTGTCCTCCAGGCAAGAAAGAAAACAGGTTCCCATGACAACAGATTTATTTTTTTCAATTTTATATTCCAGTACTTCAAAGAATAAATATAGCATATTCCATTTTTTTCTGGTCTCCCAAACCCACACCTTAAATTAAAAACTTCTGACATACGAGTTCCTGGAACAAAAAAGCAAATTGATGCTGTTTTGAAGTCATTTGTTTAAACTAGGGAACAAAGAATGTTTTCTGTAGAATTCAGACATACAATTGACCTTAGGCATTAGTGGAAATAACCTGCAAAAATGGCTTATGTAGTGAATATATAAAGCTAGGAAATTGGTCTGCACCAGAAAAAATTCAGTCCATTTGGGACCAATTTAGTCAGATACCTTTGCATGTCTTATTCCTTCAAAAATGTCTTATTTCTTATAATAAGATCTCAGGTAATCCAAGACAAATACCACTGCAAGGGCTATACAGTAATTGATGGGAAAACCATACAACTGAGTCACAGCCTGACCTGGTTTCCCAAAGAAACAAAATGTCAAACAAACGGAATGAACAGTACATGATCCATAACATAGACAGCACAGTACTGTTTGCAATACTCACTACACCCCTGGTTTCCTAAAATCAAATTTCCTGAGGAATCAAAAAACGAAAAGCCAGATCCGGTCTGCAATTTCAAGACCATATCACTGCCACTATAGACTTCACTGCAATTTAGTCATATTCTTTACAAACTTTCCCACCATCCTTTAAAAATTGGTTTGGCTTCGGCATTGGTCCTAACCTCTATTTCACAGCCTTTTATTCCATTTTGTACTGGCCCCTGAAGGCCTTTCAGCTATGTCATCGCTCCACTTGATGGAGTGATTTTTCAATCACAAAGTTTCAATCATTGTGAACAGACTTTGAAAGAATACAGTACTGAAGGGACAAAGAACATTTGGGTATAAAAGTAATTTTAACTAACCAAAATGACAACGAAATCCCACAGTAAGCACAGAAGCAGTTTGGGATTTTGAAGGGCACGTTGTACATCTGGTCACCGTGTAAACAAGTGGACGCATCTGAAGTGTGAAAAAATCATTTTGACTACTCTCCACAACAGAGGTGAAACCAAAAGAACTTAAAAAAAACAAGAACACGGCATGTTTATTAGCTGCTCCCCACTGAGAGAATAGACATTTGCAGCCGTGAACTGGTGACATCTGACTTAGTGCTGCATGAATTCTCTGTGGGGGGGCTGGGGCGGGGGAAATGTCCAGTCGTCTCTTTTACATCACATTTTTCCAAAGGATTTTTCCCCTTAGGAAAAAAGCAACACAAACCAAAACACTCCATTAAGTTTCCAAATAGAACTTTAAATAGAGGACAATGGAGCAAACACACAGATTCATGGTTTTATGTAGGGCATTGATTTGATTGACAATTTGGAATAAGACATAGCTAAAACAAACGCATGCCTAGAACACCACAAAAACTCTGAAAAGACCTTTATTATTATTTATTATTATTTAAGGACGAGGTTTTATCATGGCGAGCACTTAAGATACTGAAAGATGGCTAATACTCACTTTTAAAGGAAAATATGAAATGTTTATTGTCCCTATTTCTTATAAAGACACAGTACTTCTCTAAAATTACAAAAAAAAAATCCTATTACAAAGGTTCTCACCTTTTCTCAACTGTGAAACAATTGAAGACTAGAGTTCAGACACAGCACAATTAAATCAGTAATCAACAGATGATTTTGTTAACATGTTGGATACTAATATACGAATCAGTAGTTGATAAATTGTCTGTGATTTTAAACTTGAATAAACCACCACTGTCAAATTTGTAAGTAGAGTATATCAGAGTCTTTAATAGAGAAAAGATCAATCAATTATTAGCATTGGTCATCACTTGTAAAACGACTGCAAGGGCGACTCACTTTACTTTCGATGCAGCAGCAACAGATCTGCATTGTTCTTCAACAAATTGTATAATGCAGAAGATGCAAAGGCTAACAGGGCAATGATTTCCACTCCACTAAAGCAGGTCAACATTATCTAACAGACAATGGAACAACACTCTTATTATAATGTTATAAGAATGTTATTAGAAAATATAGCCTGAAGGAGACAAATTCTTCCCATTGTAACACTAGATGGCTAAACCAATGCTTTGCAAATAGAGCTCATCTTAACTAAGTGTGCAATGTCACATCCAATAAAGATTCCCCAACTTTATAGGAACTTATATATTTGTTGATAATGTGACTGTGTTAGTTAAAGCTTTTCATGTAAATTCTCTTTCCCTTAGCCTTTCCCTGTAGCCTCTCTCTTTACTGACCAGTAAGGAGAAAGGCTGATACTAGCAGGCGTAAGGCCTTAATTACCGCCCATAGGTCACTCAGTACCTTCACTTTATGTCTTCAGGAACCATCTCCTCAAATCCCAAGTATTTATTATGCAGCTGGCTATCTTCTGTCATGTATGTGTGTTACTAACCACCATGGACTGTACTGTCCTCCTTCCCACTTACAGTACAGTCACTCCAATCCAAATGTGTAAAGGAATACCTGTGTGTCTGCAAGAACGTTACTATCCAAGCTCAATGCAGTGACCCCAGCATGTAGCAGGCATGAGGGCCACTCCTTTGGAAGGGCGACGACAACAGCAGATTAAATCTGCTCCATGTTCACATCGTGAGGAAAATATTTTGCAGGTGTGATTCAGTTCTCCTGGTGGGGGGAAGGGTGGACAAGCTGGAAAAAACAACAGTACCATCACAGCCACACAAAAAAAAGAAAAATAAAAACCAGGAGAGAGCTGCCTTCTCCTCCCTCTGCATTTCTGATTCTTCGCACAGCCCTGTGATTTTATATCCTCCCCTGTGTGCAGACAGCACCGGAGAAAGCTAAATCACGTAAAAAAAAAACAAAATAAAACACCACTAATGTGAGAAAAGGATCTAGGGGCTTTAATGGCTCAATGGAGAGTCTTAAACCACGCATCTCTACAAAATGCAACATTCATGATGTTGTAAAACATCCAGTGAACAAAAGAATCCCATAAACACTGTTATAGTGCTACAGTTCTGAAATGTACCAAGGAGTTCTATCGCTCTGTGTCCCACGTGAGAAGACTCTCTCCAGCAGGTCATAGGCAGCCCAGTGAGTTGGATACCGCACACCCTTTACTTTCATGAAATTCTCTCTAAATGCCCAGTAGAAATGGTT